GGAAAGGGAGAGTGCAGGAGAGGAAACACCCTTCATTTCAAAACAGCCACACACAAAGTTAATTGTAGTCCAGTTGAAATTATACTCTTTACTATGTCTCTCACTCCATTACTCAAGAGACTTTTAAAAGTCAGGCAACTTTCTACTTTGGAAACCTCAACCACTCCCCTGCTCAGCTGCTTTGAGTTACTTGGTATCTCAAAGAGGACAAGTAGAAACCAGTGTTCTCAGGAAGGCTGGCTCCCATAAACAGGGAAGCTGCTTGGCTGAGTCTGAATTCTAAATCTATGCTCTATTTAAGATTCCCCCAATTTTCCAGAAGACACTTGATAGCATACATAGTAATTTAATTGGGAGGAGAAATCTTGTTATGAATCCAAGATAAATTAGTTTTAGTTGTGTTTTGTACTGTTCTTTTTGGTTCTTCATGCTTGTATCTTGTCTGTTATATGCTCCTTAAGGCAAGTATCTAACCCTTTAAATGGCTGGTAGGGTACAGCAACACATCTTCATATAGACAGAGACCAACATATTTAAATAGAAAATACCACGCACCCACGCACGCACGCGCACACACACACATTTCTAACTGGAAATTAAGCATTAAAATGTTACAGCCACAGCCTGTTTTCAAGGAAACTTGAATTTTTGAAACTTTTGTTTATGGCCAAATTATTTCAGGTCATTAACATATCACACAAATAAATGACCAACTGTAGTCATCATTCAATAGCTCTCAGGTAGTCTACAGTTCTCAAGGCTGCAGAGTCAGTATCTACATGAAATCAAGTCTAAGGCTTCAGCATATCAGTATAGCATCTGTTCTCTAAAACAGAGGACTAAGTGGCTACAATTTGGATTATAAGAATATTAAGAGAACTGTATATAAAATGATTTGCCAGCCATTATTTAATCTTTCCCCAAATAGCGCTAAATTAATTTTCTCCCAATGACAAAGAATTTGCACAATTCTCCTAACCATCACTTTCATAAAGACATTAAAAAACTCATGAAGTTAAAGAAACAAGCTTTGTGCACTAAATTCCAAATGAATTTCATGATTGTCTCTCAAAGAGCTTATTATAAATTCTTTTGCTCAGCAACAAAGAGGCACGGATGGAATCACCACTTGCCCACACATTTAAGTTTTTTTTTTTGTTTTTTTTTTTTTTTTTTTTTTTTTTTTTTTTTTTTTTTCTTTTGAGGTGCAGTGATGAAAACAGTAGGGGAAAGACCCTGAAATTTAATATATAAAGGAGAAAAACATCAAGCACGTTTAAAGTAGAAGGTCACAGCACCTTTGGCAATCAGGAATTAAATGTAGATGATTCTTGTATTAAATCTACAGTTCTTAAGATAAATCCTTATGAGATGAATGTATGAATCAAGTGAGGCAGAAATATGCTTACCAGTGTATGAGACCATCACATACATATCCAACAGGCTCCTTATTCATGAAGGGATATGTAAACAGGCACTACAAATAATGATTACTGCTTACATGAGGATTTAGCATTTCATGCCTGATACACACAGGAATTGTTGCTGATAAGTATGTCGAGTACCATTCCTTCCAAAAATTGAAAGCAAGATTATTCTAAAACAATGCAAATAACTCCATTACATTTAAAGGAAAAATATGATATTGACTCATAGTTTAGTTACTATTTGAAGAACACCTGCAGTGTTGCAATGACTTAGGGACTGCATTTGTTCTTGTAGTAACCTTGCTGTCTAATTTGAATTTGTAGTGAAATGAAGCATATTGGATATTAAATTGCTTTTATATGTCAGTTTTAAAATATTCAACCACTAACATGAAGTGGAATTGTCTTACACATTTTAAGTACTAATTTTGTATCTTTAGCCAACACATTTGACTTCATTCCATAAACTACTTTCTACTTTATTCCTTGCACATGCTGAGGGGGGGGGAAGCTCCATGATTGTCAGAGGTCTTTCCTACTATATACATCTGAGAAGACATTTCATGACTACTTCATGTGTCCAACTATGCTTCAGAAGGCTGAAAACATCTGTGCTCAGATTTGGCTTCAATCTGCTGTTCCATTTTTAAATAATAAGTGCCAATGTCACAGGTAAGAAAAAAAAAAAAAAAAAGGACGTGAACATCAGTATTCCCCAAACAATCACCTGAACATCTAAATAGGTGAGCATTGCTCAGTTCTGATAATCTAACAGCATTACAGCCATGTGCAAGGTGCCACGTGGGGAGAGCAAAACTCAGATGCAGGCTCTTGGCATGTGAGTCTGGGCGTGGAGCAAAGAAAACAAAGTTGGCCTCTGGGGACAAGCTTCTGTGGATTGTCACAGGCACTGGTTATGGAGAAGGCAATACACAGTTTCAGGATAAAAATAACATCAGGACTTGCCAGCTGACCTTAGTGATGACACAAAGATAAAGCACAGGGAGGACCCTTTTTTTCCTCCCAACAGCTGAGCCTCTGCCATGGAGCAAGTGACAGTAACTTAAAAATTCTTTTAAAACAGTATTTAAAAAATTATTTTGAAAACCACAAAAGCCCTGATACTCATAATCAAATGAAAGCTAAGTCCTTCTCCTGAACATCTATTAAAAGTTTTGAAGAAACTAGCTAGAATCAACAATACATTCATAAGAAAATTCAAAAACTATCTTTGAAGGCCCCTAGACATATCAAGTATCTTATTTGTTGATGGCAAAATAAAAAGTTTAAGCCCCTGTATGGAGGAAATATTTTTCCAAATGGAAAATGCAAATTCTCTTTTATAACTTTTTTTCTCACTTAAACTAATATATGCTTCAATAACGACTCACGTTGTTGTTCCTGAGTTAATTTTAGGCTTTATGATTTAAACACAGACATATCTATGATAAACTACAGGTAAAAGATAAATGATGTCATTCATGTTTTATGAAATTATTTCAATACAAAATTATCCCAAATACAAAAATTTGTCTTTGTATGATTAAATCTTTAGTACTAATCTCAAGTTAAAATTTACATTTTCTAAGGGGTCTGATGCTCTCACAGAACAAATGGTGATTTTCTGCTCTGTTTCTGAAGAAGGAGCACTAGGACAATCACTTACTGTACATGTGGGCAGGACTTAATGTCTGATTTAGAGGACAGTGAATTGTTTTCAAGGTATTAAAAGGTAATGATCACTTGTAAACAATATCTGAAGATAGACTCACTATTCAAATCAAGAACAGCAGTGTGAAACTCTCTGGCTCAGAGAAAGTTCATAGGAAATGAAGTATTGCCCTGAACAGAGCTGCCATTCTGCCAGTGAAGACGACACTGACACTATGTTCAGGACTTTTTAAAGCCAAGAAGAATTATAAACTGGTGTTTTGGGGCCATGTCTTCATCTATGGATTCCTCCTTGCTTTTTTGAAGAAAAAAATGTGAAATTCATTTAATACTGTAAACTTAAACTGAACCAAGCTTCCTCACATGATGAGCACAATGAAAGACTTAGTAGATTCCAGTAAATCCACATCAATTCTTGAGTGTCTTCTAGAGCCAGGCAATATGTTGACTTTGACAGACACATGCAGTCATTTAAACCTCACAACCATCAGTACAGCTGTAAGGACAGTTTGAATCTAGAGTAGCTTTTTCCATTCTGCCATGCTGTCTCTTATAAATCACAATTCTATGAACTCCTTATGCTCCCAGTTTAGACCATCAACACATAATTATTTCTGTCAGAACCATATCTGTGAGAATAAATTTTATATGGAACACCGAATAAAAGTGGAGTAAGCAATAATAACTTACCAAGCTAAAAAGAAAAATTAACCTTAAATATCTTGGCTAAAACTGATAAAACAAAAAAAAATCATCCAGTTAATTATACAATGTGTGGAAGACTCTTTATATTTAAGTACCAGTTAGAGTCTTGCTTCTTAGAAATGTAACATGACAAATTGTATCTATTGCTATTCTCCCTGCCTTCCCAGCATCTAGCACAGAGGTTCTAATGTACCCTCCGAATGCTACCACCCCTTAATACAGTCCCTCATGTTGTGGTGACCCCCAACCATAAAATTATTTTCATTGCTACTTCATAACTATAACTTTGCTATTGTTAGAGTCGTAATGTAAAAATCTGTGTTTTCCAATGTTTTGAGGTGATCCCTATGAAAGGGTTGTTGGACTCCCAAAGGGGTCATGACCCACATGTTGAAAACCACTGATCAAGTACAAAAAAACTGCTGTAAGAATCTAGTAAACAATTAGAAAATGTCCTTTATAAATTTTTCTTATAGTTAACTTGTGCAACAATTGTAGACTCACAAGCAAGTTACAAAAGGTAGCATAGAGAAAACCTCATGTACCCTTTATTCCATGTCCCCAAACTGATAATCTCCATATTCTATGTATGGGGTGGGGCATTCATGCATCTGTATTTAACTTTTAAGGTTCAAGTGTCTGTGAATCTCTTACTGAGGTAAAGAAAGAGGACTGGTGAAACTGGGTGACTTGTTCAAGATTTTAACACTGTTAGTCACTAACAGACTTGAGGCCAGAAGACAAGCAGGAATAGCATGTTTTTTAAAATCATCAGATATAGAAAAAATAACTATAAAACATTTTAATCAGAAACTATGAACCATTTTTTAAATTGTAAAACTAGGCCAAAAGTTGCCAACATGCCAACAACATGGTTGTAGATACTTTCACATTTAAGAACCTCAGGGTTCTTAGATGTTTTTTTGTCTGTGACCCCCAGAGAAGTGTATGGTCTTTGAGTTAACTGCCCATTCTTAGCAATGAGGACTTTTTCAATACTCTTAGTTTGTATCATGATGGGTTCTAATGCAGAAGTCCATCAATAAATTTGACTTTTTAACAGAAAAGTTTATGTGTAGAATTGATACAACTTACTAGACACAATGACTTCATAATAATGATATTGTTCACCAGAATAAGTAGACAATACACTAGTAACTATTTACTAAAACAGAATAGTTCCATTTTTCAACTTACCTTTAATGGAATCATTTTCGGCTCTCATTATGTCAATGAGTGAGCTCTCCAATGAGTGCATGTCAAATGTCCTGGGGCGATCCTGTAAACACAAACAGCCACAGACCACTTTTAAAATAGCATTTTAAGGTTTGGAGATAACACAGTAGCAGAGCACTAGCATGTGTAAAGCTCAGTTCCCAATAACTGTCCCTCCCCACAGCATTTACCTACACTGAGGAAAATAAGTAGCATTTAGTAGGACACAAGTCAAAAAGCACATTTACTCTAGCACTTCCAAAACATCAAGACCCACCAAAGTACACAGAGTTCATTAAAGACTGCTTTTATTTCTGACAAGAACTCAACAAAAACATCAGTTTTATTAATAAAGCATAAACCATTAAAACAAGCCTTCACATTAAGAACAGTAATGAATGTAAAAGAAAGCTAATCTTCTCCATCACTTAAGACTAGACTTTCCATACTATTCCAATAGCTATCAGCTTGGAAGATCCATGAAGTTCAATGCCAGCCAACTGAATCAGTAAGTCTCATATAGAGCCAGTTGAATCAATAAGCCTCATATTCAGCGATAGACCCTATCTCAAAAAAAAAAAAAACAAAGTTGGAGGGAGATGGAGGAAATAAATCTCTCTCTCTCTCTCTCTCTCTCTCTCTCTCTCTCTCTCTCACACACACACACACACACACACACACACACCTACAATAGCCAGGACGTACACTATACCACAAATATATGCACATACCCCCTCCACCAAAAATAGTAATTTTGATATTATCTGCTCTCTCCAAGAATAATGACACTAGACACTTTTTCTCACTCTTACAGAGCTTGCTTGTTCCCCTACTCTCTCCAAAATAACAAGACATTAGCTCCTTAAAGACCCTAGCCTTATACTTTCCATGGAGAACAAAGGACAATGAACAGAGTGGGTACCTGGACAAGAAAATCCAAATCCCCCTTTAATAGTTGTTTACTTGCCAAAGGCTTGACTTTGTTGCCATTAAGGTTTAACAGAAAAAGAGCATGGGGCCCCTGGCTTAATCAAGTCCACTTCCAGAGTGAGTGAGAAATAAGAAAAGTTACAATTTACAGGCATTGGTGACCCACGCCTTTAATGCCAGCACTCGGGAGGCAGAGGCAGGTGGATCTCTGTGAGTTCGAGGCCAGCCTGGTCTCCAGAGCGAGTGCAAGGACAGGCTCCAAAGTTACAAAGAGAAACCCTGTCTCGGGGAAAAAAAGAAAGAAAGAAAGAAACAAAGCGAGA